AGTTTTTAACCTGAAGCACTATTTCTGGGTTAGCAGAGTGTGTAACCTGAAGCATATGTAACCTGAAGCGTATGTAACCCGAGGTACCACTGTATATGCTAACAACAACAACAACCACCACCACCAGAACAACAACAAATTCGTACCCTGCCCATCTGACTGGGCAGCTTCCAGCATATGTAAAAACATAATAAAACATTAAACATTAAAAACTTCCCTAAACAGGGTTGCCTTCAGATGTCTTCTATAGTTGTTTATTTCCTTGACATCTGATGGGAGGGTGTTCCACAGGGCAGGTGCCACTACTGAGAAGGCCCTCTGCCTTGTTCCCTGTAACCTCACTTCTCACAGTGAGGGAACTGCCAGAAGGCCCACGGAGCTGGACCTCAGTGTCCGGGCTGAATGATGTGGGTGGAAACGCTCCTTCAGGTATACTGGGCCGGGGCAGTTTAGGGCTTTAAAGGTCAGCACCAACACTTTGAATTGTGCTGGGAAACCTACTGGGAGCCAATGTAGGTCTTTCAGGACCTTTCTCAATAAGCCACTGTAAATCCCAGCCCAGTATTGTTCAATTAGACCTGAAGTAGCTGTCCCAGGTCTCATGCTAGGAAATTTCCCAGCTCTGATACCTTAAAATTTTTAATGGATGATACTCAGTATTGAACCTGCAACCTTAGGAACAAAAAGCATGTGTCTTACCACTGCGCTATGGAGCCTTAGCTTAATGCCATTGTCAAGCAACCATCCCACAGTAAATACTTATCTGGGAAATGGGAAGGATCTTAAGTGAAAATTCAGTCTCTCTGCCACACCAAACTCAAGGAGGGTAATGATGATTTAAGTTTTAAATTATTATTTTCTGCATTGTCATATGATTTTCTTTCTTCTCCTTCTTTAAGTGGAAAATGGCCATGAGTATCCCCACGGGGGTGGCTAAAATTTAAATTAAGGCTAAATAACTCAGTAAGTTTAATTTAATATTCCAACCTGCTCATGACCCAGCAGGATCATAAGGCACAAGTTTCTGTCTTGCTTAGGGAAAATGAAAAAAAAAATGCTGACAAAAATAAGATTTTTTTTTTAAAAAAAAAAACATCAGCAGGCTTTACACGCACAAAGAATATAGGGCAAAAAAACAACTATGCTACAAAGCTGAAACAGGCTTTCACTGAAGGTGGTTTGGGGGCACATAACTTTTCTGCTTCCCTTTTTTGTATTAATTTGGAATTTTCTTTAGAAGGAATGTAGATTGCTCCTGAATTAATGACTGAGATCTAAGTGTGTGTTCCTATCATTTGAACTGGAGCAAAAACCATTTGGGCCTTTCCATTAGGATTCAAAGGGCGCACATGCTGTTTTAGTGGTTTTTCTAGCCTCTAGAAAAAGCAGGGGGGAAGCAGCACATACATTTTAAATAAATGTTGATATAGCTATAGGCAGTGCTTTTCCCTTAAAAAATGTTTAGGGGTACTCTCATTTTGAGTCAAGAAAATGACAGTTTTATAGTTCAAATCAGGGAAAATAAATACAGTAAATGAACAAAAGTACAAAGATTCACAGAATGTTTAGGGGTATGTGTACCCCAATGTGTACCCCCCCCCAGAAAAAAATCACTGGCTATAGGAGAAACAACCTTCCCCACCCCATTCTCATCTGTTCTTCAACATGCCTTGCCACCAGGAGCCAAGAAGGATGCAAAATAAATACCAGAAGGGGAAAACATCCTATTCTTCACTGTAACTAGATCCTGTTAACTGAAATATTTCATTCTAATTTGAATTTGTGGACTTCGTTTTCTCTACATGCGGACCTAGTTTTACAGAGCTTAATATCTGCTTGTTTATTTGAACAAGCCTCACAAGAGGGCAAGTATAATATCAGTCAGCTTTGTGTTAAGTTTCAGCTTTTTTCTTTAAGCAGTTAACCATCTTGCATTCTGTTCTTCCAGATGGTCAGAAAATGAAGTCCTTTGAATAAAGTCAAGGATCTAAGTCCTCTTGATGAATAAGGAGTGCCTGCTTTTCAGTGCCCTAGATCAGTTGTTCACAAACTCCCCATGCCACCCCAGGCCAGTTGAAAATTGCTGAGGGTCTTGCCAGACCACTTTCTCTGTTTAATGTACCAACCGTAATGTGATGTCCTTGATGCTATATGAGTTGTTGGGGAGCTTTTGCTTCGTTTATTTCTTGTACAGTGGTACCTCTGGTTCAGTACTTAATTCATTCTGGAGGTCCGTACTTAACCTGAAACTGTTCTTAACCTGAAGCACCAATTTAGCTAATGGGGCCTCCTGCTGCTGCCACGCTGCCGGAGCACGATTTCTGTTCTCATCCTGAAGCAAAGTTCTTAACCTGAAGCACTATTTCTGGGTTAGTGGAGTCTGTAACCTGAAGCATATGTAACCTGAAGTGTTTGTAACCTGAGGTACCACTGTATTACAATTTGAATTCCACAGAACTCAAACTGTAATATAGGAAGATGCAACATAAGAAATAACAGAAGCAATAAAAAATAAGAATAAAAATCAATATGAAGATTTAGTGCAATAGATATGCCATCGCCTGTCTTCAACCACAAATTAACAGACACACCATCAATCACATAAATGAAGCTTGGGAACCCCTGCCCTAGATGAAAGTACACACCTGATTGATATTATCATGATTCATACATTTGTCTTCTGTGTTAAATAAAAATGTGAGAGTCAGGATGAGAGAGTGCTAGCTCCATTATCACCTGTCACCATCAAATTCCATGAGGTGGGGGGCAATTGTTTGCCATGGAAAATATGACTCATACCGCCTCTCTTCATAATATGTAATTTTTGAAAATCTGGGCTATATATCTCCCACGGAGAACCTACGCATGTAAGGCCTACTCCCTTGTGTAAGTAGTTTATAGAAGCCAACTGAGCTTCCACTGAATTGCACAGGTCTATTAAGCTGGCAAACGGCAGATTGCCTTATAGAAGATTTTACAAAAATCTAAACGGAAAGGATTCTATAGTACATCTTCCTGATCCAGTTGAGCTTAGAAAAAATGACACGAAACTATAAAAAGCTAGCTACAGAAGTATGGTATTTAATGGACCATCTTCTGTGGGTTAAGTGGAATATTAGCTGTAAGAGGAAACTTTTCCCCATACCAAAATTGGAGAACTAAAAGGTATTCCAATACTTCATCATTTTTCTCCGAAGCTAATGTAGCAAGAACTTTCTATACATAATAGAGTGGTGGTGAGTTCAGAGTGATGCTACCGTGGGAATTGGTTCCATTTTGAAAGGTGTCATTCCCTATATAAGACACACAGAACCTGAGCTTCCCATCTTCTCAGTGTTTAATATTCTTGCAGACCGGCAGGAATTACAAACACAATGCAGACAGAGCCAACCTGGTGGAAAGATGAGTAAAATATTAGACAATATGTCCATCTTCTGTTATTTATTTCCTTTATGCTAGTTATTAAGGTGCTGAGCTAGGAGACTAATAAGACACCATCCTGGACACTGTCACCCCCTGGTTCAGTAATCTTGATCCTTTTCAGACCTGGCACCTACCTTTGGGATTCACCTTTTGCCTAAAGATGAATAATGGGATCCACTTCTTAATTTTCTACCATGGATGTGTAGTGTTGCTTCCGTAACTCACCTGAGATCAGACGGTAATGCACAACCCCAGCTTAAGACTGTAGTTAAGGAAATAAGCTGTAACCTGAGCAATCAAATCTTCATTGAGTCTTGAAATCACTGGATAGAAAATCAGAACTTGGTCATGCCCTCATTGCCTTTCTGGCCATGCCCCTATGACATCATAGCAATCCCTGTGAGGTCAGTAGGCACCAGTTGACACTGGGACCTGAGTATGACAAAGCAAACTTCAATAATACTATTGATTACTAGTGATTATTGACTAAATCCCTGGTCACATTACAGCATCCCCCATTTGCAGTGTGCTTTCTTTGTTCGTTTACTTTTCAGCTTGGACCCTCAAGCATTGCCAATTATTTTTGGGCTGAATAAGCAGGTTCTCACATATTCCTGCTATTTGATTTTTTGGGGGAACAGACATAGTTGGGTACTGGCTGGATTTTTTTTTATTGATATGCTTTTAAAGACACTCTTATCAATGCCATTTTTGGACCCAGAATGCCAACCTAGTTGGGACTCTTGGTCTAATGAAGTAGGATTCTTATTGTGTTGCGTGTCGAGGTCCCCAGGGCCACCCCAAAAACTCACACATCACACCAAAATTTTTGTTTAAGGTTTTTGGCATAATTTTGGCCACAGCTTTATTAAAATACAAACATGTGAGTGGTTGCTTAGGCATTGGTTGTGACTATCTGCCCCCACTGTGGGAGAAAGAAAGACATTCCGCATTCCTGCGAAAGTCAGAAAAGGGGAATACACTTGGGGGTAGCGATGGAGCAGGGAACCTGCCCTCAGCCCTCCCCAAATGCAGCCAGGAGCTCTTGCAGTGGCCCGAGCCTCCTTGACAGGGTGGACAAGCAATAGTTAGCCCCCGATTCCTTTAACGGAATCCCTTGCAGCAGCAGCATTAGAGGGGCAGGCACAGCCAATCCATGCCCCTCAACCAACCAAACCACAAACCAATGCCTAACCGCAACCTTACAAGTTGTGACGATTTGCAGGCATAGCAAGGTCAAAGCGAACAACCCTAAATATAAGGGGGGGGGGCAATCCGATGCAGGGGCGAAAAGAGGAAGCCCTAGCCTTGTGCAAGGAGTTTTAGCATTTCTGGCTGTCAATCAACAAATGGCAACATTAACTTCTTCCCAACGACAAGGGAAGCCCAATCGCATCAGTGGCCAATGATCAATTAGCCCGCCCCACAACTTTGGAGTGTCCTAGCGGCCCCCACCGCAACACGTGCTCTCCATGAAGGAGAACATGCTTTGTGAGAGGCCTTAAGGTCTCTGTTGGAAAGGTGGGATGATGTAGTTTTTTAGTGTACAGACAGGACTTCAGATTTCAGGGACATTTGCATGGGTAGCACAGTTGGTTAGTGTGTAGTGCTGATAATGCTAAGGTTGCAGGTTCAATCCACGTAAGGGGCAGCTGCATATTCTTGCATTGCAGGGGGTCGGACTAGATGATAAATATATGGGCCATTTTTAGAAGCCTGAAGCTTTTAGATCTCCTAAGTGGTGATTAGCTTCTTACCACATTGCATGATTAAGGCTCATCATTGTATTCAGGCATAAGTTCTATTGCATCAAACGAAAGTCTCAAGCTAGCATCCTTGACATTTAGCATAGCTTGGAGAAAATGCAAGCAAAGTGCTCTCCAAATCATTGAAAAGGTAATCTATTCTTCTCTGCAAATAAACAGCCAATTTAAAAAGAAACCCCAAGGTAATCCGCACTTCTGTTGAACACATCAAATAAGTAGGAACTGAGAATGCTCTTGAGTACTCAGAGCCAAACTTTATGACTAGTTCTTGAGTGGCTGAATTATTCGCCAAGATTTAAAATGCCAGTATTGAGTAGTGTAATACAAGCTGGATGGAGGATACCAAATCACCAAACTAATGTCTAAAGTCTATGAAAACAATATGGTGAAGATTTGGAAATAAATTGGAGATGTGATTATAATGTCCTTCACTTTCAGTCTTCAGGTTCAACTAGTAGTTTTAGTGGTGCAGACATACTTTCTGGAAACACATGTAAGTGAAAATGTTCATCCTTTAGGAATCCTGCTTTGTACCTTTTTTTTTGGGGGGGGGGGTCATTGGTGGCTGCTGTTGCTGAATCTTGAGAGTATTCCCTCTCCCACCTTGATAAGAGAATCTACCTCAACAGAATACCTGTCTGGATGTTGAAGTTCTGGTTTACCAGTTCAGAATTCAAAATTTCAGGATGCAGTGGTACCTTGGTTCTCGAGCGGCTTAGTTGTCGAACAAATTGACTCCCAACCATCACAAACCCGGAAATAAGTGTTCCAGTTTGTGGACTTTTTTGGAAGCTGAATGTCTGATGCCCACTTCTGCTTGAATGAAGGAAGCTTCTGTAGCCAATCAGAAGCTGCACCTTGGTTTTTGAACTGTTTCGGGAGTCGAACGGACTCCCGGAACAGATTAGGTTCGAGAACTAAGGTACCATTGTACATGGTTCTTCAAGAGGTGCTTTTTTAGAATTTTGTGAGTCACTGATTAATTAATACCTCAGGCACAAGGTAGGGACAGTTATTAAAGGTACAAAGAAAAGTATTGGCCCTTACTTTGCATGTTGTTTCCCAATAAGAGAAAGACCAAATAACTGATATTAACAACATCACAATGTATCATTGACAGAATGTGGCTTTCTCATAAAGACTCTAGGGAACTATGGCAATATTTTCATTTCCCTTATCTTAGCTTTAGGCTGTAATCCTATACACATGTAGAAATAGGTAAAAGGTAAAGGTACACCTGACCGTTAGGTTCAGTCGTGGATGACTCTGGGGTTGGGACACTCATCTCACTTTCCTCGCTGAGGGAGCTGGCGTTTGTCCGCAGACAGTTTTTCTGGGTCATGTGGCCAGCATGACTAAGCTGCTTCTGGTGATCCAGAGCAGTGCACGGAAGCACTGTTTACCTTCCCTCCAGAGAGGTACCTATTTATCTACTTGCACTTTGATGTGCTTTCGAACTGCTAGGTGGCAGGAGCTGGGACCGAACAACAGGAGCTCACCCCATTGCGGGGATTTGAACCACTGACCTTCTGATTGGCAAGCCCTAGGCTCAGTGGTTTAGACCATAGTGCCACCTGCTGTAGAAATAAGTCTCAGTAAACTCAATGTGCTTTGCTTCTCTGTAGAGATGTGCAGGATTGCCCTGCTTATTACATCAAAAATAGTGGCTTACTATTTCTCTCTACAGATTTCCTTGAAATCTGGTGAATTCATAGGAATCTCCTGTGCCAGAAGAAGAAGAATTTTCACAAGTTTGGCTTCTCATTACAGTCTCCCATGCTCTTATTTCCACTGGAATCTAGAGCCAAGATCAGCAGTGCTGTAGAAAGGAGCACGATCACTGCTTTGCCATTATGAGGGATGATGAGCTGTCAAAGTTTTTATTACCTCACAGTTCTTGGGATTGCAAGTATTAATTTGTTAATTGTACAATCATGTTCTGCTTTCCTCTCTGCAGGCCTAAAATGCCTAGCAAATCATAAATATTAGGGCAGCCTTGAATATTCTCTAGCTGAACCCTCATGTCAGAAAGACCAGCTTCCATTCATATCTCAGAAAAAAGAAGGAAAAACCTCACCAGTTTTTTCTGCAGCTTGCATCTTTTTATTGGTGTGCTTGCAGGGATGGCAACTGCCTCCACTGGTAAATGTCACCCCCCGTCTTTGGAAGAGAGAGCTGACCTCACGTGCAAGGGAGGGTGATATCCCATCATCAGCAGTGAAGTAAGATACAACTGCAAATTCTGTACATGGGATGGGAATGTGAGAGCATCTTGTCCTTCACCTCCGGGAGCAAAATGTCTTGGACCAGCCCTCTGTCCTTGCTACTGCTTCTCATCACTTCTTTTCTCCTTTTCATTCTCTTGAAAATCCTCACCCCCATTTGATCACACTGCTTAATTTAACACTCTACACAGGAGGATATCTGCACATTCTTATACAAACCTACCTGATCTTCCTTTCTTAGAGTGAAGTACAGATCTGAACTTAGTTATCCTCTTCCCAAATAATCTGATGCAATTATTGGCTAACTTCCTACCCTCAATATTAATGTTTAAAACATATATGTTGAAGGAACAAGTGCTAAGATCACATGCCACCTTAAAAACCTCACATTTTATTGTGGTGTAGGTGCTTATGGCGTTTCCGGCTCAAAGAACAATATGTTGGGACGCAGGTGGCGCTGTGGATTAAACCAGAGCCTAGGACTTGCCGATCAGAAGGTTGGCAGTTCAAATCCCTGTGATGGGGTGAGTTCCTGTTGCTCGGTCCCAGCTCCTGCCAACCTATCAGTTCGAAAGCACGTCAAAGTGCAAGTAGATAAATAGGTACCGCTCCGGCGGGAAGGTAAACAGCGTTTCCGTGTGCTGCTCTGGTTCGCCAGAAGCGGCTTAGTCATGCTGGCCACATGACCCGGAAGCTGTACGCCGGCTCCCTGGCCAATAAAGTGAGATGAGTGCCGCAACCCCAGAGTCGGCCACGACTGGACCTAATGGTCAGGGGTCCCTTTACCTTTACTACGTGCTTATGGCATAGAGCCCATGAAATTGGGCCTCAACAACATGTTCTTCCAACTGTTAGCGTGCTGGAAGTGATTTGCATGCTTATATAGCCTGTAACCACTTTGTATCCTAGTTGAGGGATTTTGAATCAACTGAAGTTTCCAAACAGTTTCCAAAGGCAGCTCCCGCACAGAATGAATTTCTGTAGTCTAGATCATGAATTATTAGGTAATAAATCATGGCCAGGTCCCAATCATAAACCATTCATTGAACAAGAAGTCCCAACAGGGTCATACTTCCTCTCTTGCTTTCCTAGAAAAAGTTGTCTGAAAGTGCAACCAAGGCTGTTTCTGTCCCAGATTCAGGCTAGAAGCTGATTTTAAATGGGTTCAAATTATCACTTTCACCTAGGAATGCCTGAAGATGACCAACCATTACCTCTGTGATCATCTTACCCAATAAAGGGATGCTGACAACTGAATAACAGTCATTTAAATTGTCAGACTCACGTATGGATTTCTTAAATAGTGGCTTTAAGACTACATCTCTCTGGAGGGCCAAGACAAGCATTTCTTTTCTCCCAGCAAGATATAATTAGCCAAGATGAGCAAAAGGTCAAGTAAGCAACCCATAGACAACTATGACAAGCACCCTAACTGTGCCATTATTTTGCAACAATTGAAAGACTAATAATAACAATAATAATTTATTTATTTATACCCCGCCTTCCCCGGCCAAAACCGGGCTCAGAGTGGCTAACATCAGATATATAACATATTAACATAAAAGCAATCAATCAATTAAAATACACCCTAAAATCAAATCAGGATCAAAGTGAAATCCAATCAGATGGCAACCCGCAGATTAGGGTTGGGGACATTAAATGCTCACCAGGCCTAACTGTTTATGCTGATCTTATATGAGCCTGTGAGAAAAATTAGGGGGCCACTTTCTTGTAAGTTCCTATAAGGGGGGGGGGGAGTCAGACTGGACCCCAACCAAAGGCCTGGTGGAATAGCTCCGTCTTGCAGACCCTGCGGAAAGATGTCAGATCCCGTAGGCCCTGGTCCCTTGTGACAGAGAATTCCACCAGGCCAGGGCCATGGCCGAAAAGAAGCAAATGCCACTTGGCCATAATCTCAGAACATCCAGCTATTTTAGTGCCATGGCTGCTGAATGTCATTCAGAGTGCATGGGCTCACTTACTGCTATCATCCCTGATGAGCAATATTCTCTTCCCTACAGAAAAAAGCTGCACAGTAAGGCCTTGTGCTGACGGAGTGATGGTGGAGGATTAACTCCAGTTCTCTGCAGCATCACCTCCTGGCTTGTTATGTTCACTGTGAGTCTTCTTCCACTTGCACTCCAGCTATCTTCTCACCTGTTCTGTTGCCCCCCAGTTTCCCAGGAAACCAGGGAGTTGATCTGACTCTGCTTCATCAGATACCACAATACATTCCAGCAGCTCATGACAAAATGAGTTTGTTGGTTTCTCAGGGGCTTTTTGCTGTGTTACGACCCCACAGCCCCCTGCAAGCGGCTTACAGAACCACCCATCTAGAATTTATCCATATGGAAAGCAGGTGCATATAGCGTTTGGGCTTCATTCGCCCAAGATGCTCATTGCAAACTGCAACTATAAATCGTGATTGCATTCCTAAATCAGTCAGATGAAATGCTTACAAAAGTAGTATGAATTAAATCTTGGGAATCTGTTATATTAGCATTCTACACATCCCCAATCTAGCAATCCATCTCCTTCTCCATTTTCTACTCTGCCTCCCCCTTTAAATCGTGAAATGTGCTGTGACTGGATATTTCTGACCTGTGGAAAGGCTTGCGAGATCATTATTTGACAGAAGCAACTAATTGTTCCCTTTTATAGCCAGT